AATTTAAATTACAAGGCGTCGGGTATTTACATCGCCAAAGACAAACCCTTTGAAAAATAAAATAAAGCGGTAAAAATAATTAAACGTCCTATTTTACTATTACAATCCGTAAGCAGATACATAATTGGATAAAAATAAGTAACGCACGTGGGAAATTGAATCGAATGCGAATTTTAGGGTTTTGACCCTTTTGAAAGAAAATTGCTTTTTTTTGGTTGTTTTTATTTTATTTGAAAAGAAATTAAATCCTAAGTTAATTACTAAATAAGAAATTAAATTAATTATTGAAAAAAAATAAAATTAATGACATATTTTTGGATTTTTATTATCTTAGGAAAGAAAATAAAATTAATTAAATTAGTAGTTAAAGACCTAATTAAATCTAATTAATTTTAATTATTTACAAAAATAAGTTAGAGTTTTCTAGAATTAGAACCTAAATTAATTGGTTAGTAATTATTAATAAAATAAAAATTTTAAAATTTGATTGGATAAAAAGAATATTTTTTATGGTTTTTATTTGATAAAAAAGAAGGAATTTTATGATTGGTTAGAAAACTAAATAAAAATAATAAAACAATTAATAAAACAAAATAAAATAAATAAAAGAGAGAGGGGAGTGTTGGGCCTGATTTAAGAGTGTGAGTAGCAATTTCATAGGCTCAATAGAAGCTGGCCCTTTGGACTTTCTCTGATCCAATAAGCATGCATTGACCTGGCCTATGGTGGACTCTCATCGTGGACCACCAGATCTGGCTCCTTGGCCATCAGGCACTTAGATCATGAGGGAGTATGGTGGGCTGCAGATGGGCGCGTACACTGGAATACCTTAAAACCAAAATTATTGAGAAAGTGGGGGACCTGGGATTCAAACCCAGGTCCTGAAGGGGATACACTGCTCGCTTTACCACTACACCACATTGCCTTGTTTGTTATAATAATTCAAAAGAATAATAATATAATAAAATGAAATCAATTGGTCAGAAAATAAAAAAAAAAGGCGCCAAGATTTGAAATAGCCAATGGACGGGGGACACCTCATCGTCCCTGTCCTCAAACCTGTAACAAAAATACCTGCGAATTTGAATCTGCAGCTAAAAACGCAGCTCTATCCTAAAATTCTCTCCAGGCCATGAAAATACATTCTACGAGCATGGTTGAACTCGTCATCTCCTCCTGATTGCAACCATGCCCTTCACGTGGACCAATTGTGCCTGAAACAAAAATCCCCAAAACCACGAGCCAAACCCTAGCAATGGTGTTTCTTCATACAGAGCACATAAATGAAATTAAACAATGCAAAAAGTTTGAACATGTTCTTGTGATCACGAATGTACCATTAGTTTGTTCAATGGATGCCAGAATGCTTCAAATCGAAATCAAGAACATGGGTGGTTAACGTGAGACTTACAGTGCGTTAGGGAGTCTGAAAATGCTTGGTTTTGGTTGGGATGGCTTGTGTGAATGGCCAGGAATCGATTGGGATACGTCTTGCCTCCTGAAACTGCCTCTAACCTGGTTTTTGATTTTCAACTTTTTTTTTATTTTTTCAATTCTTGTTCCGCCTCTTCCAACACTTGCCAACCCTTATTTTCGTTTGTTTTTCTTCCTTATGTAATGCTCAGTGCATTAGGTTTACAAACTTGGTACAAATCTCCCTATATCAATGACTTTGATGTGGATTTGATTCTTCCATTAAACCTTTCCAAATTTGATTTATTTCAATCTTTTTGCACATGATTTGATTTGATACGAATTTGATGGTGATGCTAGCTCTGAACAAAGCCTAAAACAATCAGAAAATCATGAGTTGTTAATTCCTTGGATTTTATATGATTTTATTTGATTAAAAATGAATAAATTTAAATAAAAATCAAATTAAATAATAAAAATGAGATATGGGCACATGGTTGGAGATAGGGAACTTGGGTTATAGTGCAAACTCAAATCAAGTGAAAACGAATGAGCCCATTTGACAAAATTTGAAGTTTTGGGGATAGTTGACTTTTGGCAATTTTGCAAAAAAGTCCAACTTCAACAATGCATAACTTCTTCCATTTTGAACTTTTGGAGATGTTCTTGAACTTTCTAGAAAGCTTGAGATGTCCTATAATCAACAATTTTGGTCTCATCTCATTTTTATATTCCATGCTCAAGTTATAAGCTTTGATAAAAAAGGTATTTTTGTTGACTTTCAAAAATGACCTATAATGTCCAAATTCATAACTTCTTGTGAGTGCATTTTTTTGATCTTGGGGTATGAAGATGTATTGTAGTAAATTGCATCCTATTCAAAATAAGCTTTGGATGGGTCATTTATCATAAAGTATGAGAAAGTTATGCTTGGTCAAAGTTGGGTTGACTTTTCCTACAAAACCCTAATTTAGCAACTTTTGAATCTTGATGAATCTTGAGCAATCCTTGATGAATCATGATCAACCTTTGATAAAATGATTAAATATCCTTCAAAATGAGAATGTTGACAAAAAATATTGAAGTTTGACTGTTTGTAGGCCACAGTTGACTTTTGCCCTAGCACAGTCGATTTTTGGACCTTTGAGCAAATGACTAAGCAAACTTCCTCTGCAAGGCATGAAATTTGACATGGATGATCTTGAGAACATATTAGTACATTGGTGATAACTTGAGGTCATTTGGATTCAAGGATATTGATGCAATACAAAACCCTAATTTGGGGTAGACTGCCTTAGGAGAGGGCTTGTCTGACCAACTCTTTAGCTACCTTGAGCCACTTGGAGATTTTTCTTGCAATGCTTTGAGGAATATGGGAGGGAAAATTTTGGGGTACAACACACACCATAACATCAAACAATGGTTCGAAGAAATATATCAATAGTATTAAACTGTCACACTATACTATTGATGCAACAACTTATCCGGACAGACCGACCTGCTCTGATACCACTATGTAACACCTAATTTAATCCCGTGTAATTATAATAAAATCAGAGTAATTTAAAATATCAATCATAATTAAGATGCTACATTCTTCAAAAGTATGCATGACTGCCCTTAATATTTAAATGATACATAACACCAAGCAATGATGAACTAAAACTAACGTTTCATATTATTCAAGTTTCAAACTTTTATTAAGCAGCGGAAAAAATTCACAATTTGAAATTTCACACCACTCATCCAACAATTAAATCCATGTTTATTAATTATCAAAGAATCCATAAAATTCCGACAATTCATCGTCAATAAAATAAAAGTAGTGTTCATCCTCCCTAGTGTTACATATCAGAGCATGACCTCGACTCGAAATAAACGACGAATAACTTCCTTTATTGTGGATCACTTGTATGTTATCCACGTAGATGTAACATTCAAACAGAAGATGTGAGATGTCGTAACAATATAAAAGATAACATAATAGTAAGCAGATAGCAATTTGTTATGCATAGTCATACGTTCTTCATCTCACACCTTCACATCATTTTACTTATGTCAAATATACAATCAGACAATCCAACAACACATATCATCCATTACAATATAACACACACATCATCTACACATTTCAACAACATAATAATAATGGATGCAATGAGACCGACTCACAGACTCAATGCATGTGGTACCAACAGAGCATAAGCCCTCATCATTATGCCAAATAGGGCAGCAACAGGACATAAACCCTCATCATAGCGCCAATACAAACCATCAATAGGGCATAAGCCATCACCATAAAAGCATGCAACACCGACATGCAACAACATATTGTACATTGATATTCCTATCTACAATTTTCATCATTACTTTTTATTATCATTCATGATGTTTTTTTTTTCTTCTATTTTAACTTCAGAGCGCTATCTCCTCCATAGTGTTACATATCAAAGCGTGACCTCGACTCAAAATAAACGACGAATAACTTCATTTATTGTGGATCACTTGTATGTTATCCACGTAGATGTAACATTCAAACAGAAGATGTGAGATATCGTAACAATATAAAAGATAACATAATAGTAAGCAGATAGCAATTCGTTATGCATAGTCATACGTTCTTCATCTCACACCTTCACATCATTTTACGTATGTCAAATATACAATCAGACAATCCAACAACACATATCATCCATTACAATATAACACACACATCATCCACACATTTCAACAACATAATAATAATGGATGCAATGAGACCGACTCACAGACTCAATGCATGTGGTACCAACAGAGCATAAGTCCTCATCATTATGCCAAATAGGGCAGCAACATGACATAAACCCTCATCATAGCGCCAATACAAACCATCAATAGGGCATAAGCCCTCACCATAAAAGCATGCAACACCGACATGCAACAACATATTGTGCATTGATATTCCTATCTACAATTTTCATCATTATTTTTTATTATCATTTATGATGTTTTTTTTTCCTTCTATTTTAACTTCAAAGCACTATCTCCTTTCTAATACACTTATTTTCAGTTGAGATGAAATATATTAATTTATTTAACTTATCAGATGATCATGGAGAAGAATTTGATACTTTTATCTTTTATAACTTTATATTTTTGTGTGTAATTATTTAATCATCACCATACCTTTAATTTATAATAATTATAAATAATATTTACCGTGCATTTCACATTTCACATGTGGACGTTATATATATATATATATATATATATATATATATATATATATATATATATATATATCAAAATCTACGTGGATTATAAGAAAGAAAATCCTTATTTATTTATTAGAGGTGGAGCTAAAATCACATCTTCCATATTCAACCTAAAAAAAAAAACTTTACAAAATGTTCATTGATTCGTTTTTCGCTTCCTTCCACAGGCGACACAAGCAATCTCGTGTGTGTAGTAGAACTATTCCAAAACCAAAAAACAAAAACTCATGTAGTAAGACTGAACAGAAGGATATTTACAGAGAAAGGTGCTGGAACTGGCATTAATGTCACTCAGCTGTTTTCTATGACACAAACTAAAACAGATGATGTGCATCAAGCTGATAGATGACTATATGTTGGCGAACTTTTAAAGCGTGTGTCGGCTGATTGGAGAGACTTCTCAAATAGATCAGTACCGTCTGCTACACTGGTCTTTGCAAAGTTGAACTTTTGGTATAAAGATACAAGAGAGTTCACAACTTCAGACATTTGGGGACGGAGTTGTTTTGAAGGCTGTTCAAAAGACACAGTTACTGAGGTTTTTCAATTTCTTATTCAGTTTGAATTATAAGATTAGGGGTTAATACCTGTATACAGAGGGAGATGAGATCAGCATAACAAGAAAGAGCCTTGAATGAAATTGTTGTTTTCATACTGGGATCTACTATCTGTTCCAAACTCGCGCTGTCACGAAGCCTGGGGGAAGCCCATTTTGCCAGATATTGCTCTTCCCTTGGCCTGGCACTATAATATATTGAAAGAAAGTAGTAGATATCATTCGATGAAACAACAATTGTATCCTTTACAAGTGGGCATAAATATATACGAGGAGACACCATAATATGGATGAAAAACATACCCATCGAAAGGTTTCCTTCCTGTTAACAATTCCAGAAGCAATACTCCGAAGGCAAAGACATCTCTTCTTCTGCTGAACCCTGTTTGGCCATGGTCAGATGGAGCGTAGCCTCTCTCTGAAATTGTAGTCTCAGTTGCCTGTTTCCAATAGTCGCCAAATAGATCAGTAGCCTGTCTCCAATAATAACCTAAACGCTCAAATTTAAGATCATTGCCAAGCTCCTGATTCAGTTTGCAACAGCTGGTTTTGTAACATTGAGGTTTAACTGTGTTTTCTTAGATAATTTTACCACCACCATTTTAGTTTCTAATAACTTCAATTCATTTGAATTTAATCTATAATCATTTTAAATATAACAATCAACCCTAACTGTTATTTTACTTAAACTCTTGCATCGTTAGCTATTGTACCTAAAAAAGAGCTATTCCCCTTCCTGAAAAATATAGTTATTGAAGAACAAGGAAAACAACACCTTTATCTTCAAGTTTATACCAAAATATTTCAATTGATGTAAATTATGAAAAAGAATGACAACTTAAAACCTCCCAAAAGATGAAATAAAAGCAACGCAAGCATATATAATAGTTATTTGCCAATGAGTTTCTGGTAATAAAACTATTGCTCAGTGCCAATTATAACTTTAGCAGCCAGAACCTTATCAATTACTTTAGCTGCTAGAACCTTCGTCAGTGGTCTCAAAATAGCCAAGCTACTGTCACAAACACGAGGCAGCAAATTTTCATCCAGTAGAACGTTGGCAGACTTCAAATTACCATGGGCCACAGGCGGGCAGCATGCTGAGTGCAAATAGCTGAAAACATTTCAATGACTTTTAGAGTTAAGACAGCATTAACTATGATTCTACTTTCAAGATTTAGAGCAACTCACTCCAAAGCCCGAGCAACATATAGAGCAATTCGAAGACGCTGGGTCCACGATAGTGTTTCACATGCTCCACTATGAAGAGCATCATATAGAGTTAAATTTCCAAAGTAATCATAAACAAGAAGATGCTCTCCATGCTCCAAACAGTAACCATTGAGTGGTATGATGTTGGGGTGCTTCAGTTTGGAAGCTGTGCAAATGACATCCAAGAACATTTCCTCTTCTCTGTAAGACAAACCAGCCATGTTTATGATCTTCACGGCCAAAATCTTCAAAAACAAAAACAAAAAAATGTTAATTTGAAACCTAAACGTGATAAAAAGAAAACTTCAGTGTTTGAAAAATAGCTTGAGATTGTACTTTGCCATCAGAAAATTTAGCTTTGTAAACAGGACCAAGAGATCCCTCTCCCAGAAGGTTGCCTTCATTGAAGAAGTTAGTAGCCAGCTGAAGCTCCGCAATGGTATAGATTTTTGTCCTTCTAGTGGATCTGTCTCTTTTGGAATAACTTCTTCTTGATGTTTCCTCTATATTGTTATGGTGCAGGAAAGGAAATTTCATTGGACCCAAAAGAGATGCAGCGTTAATAGGCAGGAGTAGTGGCTTGTCATCTAGTTCAGCAGAAGACACCTCTATCACCAAAGGGGAAAAAAGAGAGCATGATTAGCATTAGAAATAAATTCACAAAAATTCTAATGGCATCCTAGCCCAGAGGGGTAGCTGCTAGCTAGCTACTTGATTATTACACACAAAACGTAAATTTCCAATACAATGGCATCCTAGCCCAGAGAGGTGTGGCTGCTAGCTACTTGATTATTACACACAATGTAAATTTTCCATACAATGGCAAATTCTTATTATTTTTCAAGATTTTTTCAAGGTCCCCTCAGAGAAAATGGCAAAACAAGATACAGATTATAAAATGCCTCACAATCCATATGCTTTTCTATATGAATTACCTATGCTTGCACTGGTTGGATGAGAATGCAAAGAGATATCATTGCTTTCTGAGTAATTCAAGTTCCGGCTTTGAGCATGCAGTTTGTTTAACCGGATTGCAATGAGGAGTGCCACACCTGTAGCCATTACTGTTCCTCCAGCAACAATAAAAGCAATTCCTCCAGGGCCTAATTTTTTCATCTTATGCTTGTGCTCAAGTACTCTGGGAGGAGCATAGTTCTTGATGGCATTTGTATTAGTTGTGGGCGGGCGACTAATATTGTGCTCAACTGATAATGTCCCCACAGGAGAAGTCAATGGGGGATAGTTGTCCGCTGCATGGAATTTATTCCCGCCAATCCTATTTTAGGGTAGAGGGGATGGTTACTATCTTAAGTGTCCACTTCTGTTTGATGCAATAAAATATGGTGAGCAAACTCATAATTGTTGTCACTAACCATAATTTTTTTATATTCTGAAATTGATGTGGAAGAAGGCCACTAAACAGATTATCTTGAATGTTCCTGGCAACACAGACAAATAAGCAAATAGTAGAACTGAAAGTATATATTGGGAAAATGCTAGAGATAATCCTACAAATCTGTAAGTGGAAGTTCCGCCAGGTAGGTGACTGATCCAGTGAATCTGTTATTCTGCAAGAACCTGCAAATAAGCACCAATTTTCATATCAAACCAACCTACCCCTATAAGGAAAAGTTCTTCCTTTGAAAATTAAGTATATGATGATACATAAATCAAGTTTAGAGAAAATAATGCATAAGAAGGAAGAAATTTACAATCTAGCAAGGTTTGTCAGGGAGCCAAATGATCTTGGTAGATCTTCCGAAAAATTATTGTATGAAAGGTCCCTGAAGAAAGGAAATTACCCTTCGTGAGGTTCCATTTGATAAAATTTGGAGAAAACAGTCAAAGATATCAATAAAGAGGAGAAGCCATCTATGTTTTCGTTTAATTGATTTTTTAGTGAATGGTTTTTGTTTCTTCAATATATTCTAATCTATAGGGTTATAGTCTTACATATACTATTTGATCCTTTTTTTTAAGTTGGAAAAGTTCAGTTTGCATTCATGATTTGGTCTCACATATCCAGAAAATTCAAGGCCGCAAGTACCTAAAATTTTGTACTGGTTTAGTCACTTATTCATATTATTGAAATCAAATGCAAGTACCGCAAGACCCCAGAGAAGAAGCCATACATTTCTTTGAGATTATCTAAGCCAGTAAATACGTCGCCAATAGGTCCAATTAAGAAATTGTGGCTTAAATTCCTGCAACATAAGATAAAAAATGACTATTGCACTTGCACAGCCACTAGTAAAGCTCAATCATTATAATATATTGTACTCAAGAGAGACAGAAAATATGAACAATGTTTTATTTTCAATTGATAAAGACATTATATCAGGTATGCCTATCAGCAAGCACAAAATTCAATCCTGCAGCAGAACAAGATTACAAGAATAGTTGCCTTACATATGAGTGACACTGGGGGGTAAACCAAATGGCATTTCGCCCACTATGTTATTTGAACTGACATCACTACAAAAAACCAGAATATAGAAGCAAGCTAGTTAATAGCATATCCTAAAATTCAAATGTTCTGAAAAGAATCTATTACTAATGCTATAAAAAATTACAAACACTCACAGCTTCTTCAAATTCCGTAGAAGATAGAGCCTGCATAGACTCCCAGTAAGGTTTAACCCTTGAATCTGTCTGCATTTTAACAGAGAACACGGATAACAAATATCAGTTTCCTTATGATCTAAGGGTCTGCTTGAATTAGCTTATTTAAGCTTATGTACCGACATAATAAGCACTTGTGGAACTGTTCGTCAGAGTTTACTGAAACAACTTAAGACTAAGTATAAGTAGCTGATACATAACAACTTATGCTATAAGTGCTTAATTTAGCGGTTAATCCAAAGAGTGACTAAGTATGAAATATGATCGGTGAAGTTGGTACGTTACAGGCGTATAACTGATGAACCAGAACAAGTAACACCCGTCCAAGACTCCCCGCAAGGATCACTGCCATTCCATCCACGGAGCGCATTCGAGTAGTTCAAGGCCTGGTATAGATCTCGTAGAACCCACACTATCATCCAAAACAACATCACAAGAAATATAGGGTTACTGAAAGAGCAAAAGGCCAATTTAATCTATATCCTCTAGAATAGCAACAAAGTTGAACAATATATGTACAAATTTTAGTAACCAATTGTCTTCAAACACGAGCGTGTAGATATTGAAATGCAAATCTAGGTTACCAAACAATCGAAAGAAGAAAGATACAACAGTGATAGGTACTAAAAATTTAACGCTCTTTCCAAGAAAAAACAAATTCTAGAACAGTGTAAGAGCTTATGAGAAGTTATCTGAGTTACCTTCTGGTGGACGAGTTAACGCCAAGCTCTGAGAAATCAAAATTGAAGAAAAGAGAACGAGATTGAGAAGGATGTAAAGGAAGTTGCGAATCATTTTCACCAGAATTGGAAGAAACCGCTAACGATACTCGTTGGTCTTAAGAAAAGAAAAAGAAAATAGAATCAAGATCGGAGAAATCTAAGTGTGACGGCGGTGAGAATGGTGGTTTGAATTGTTTGAGCGGCCGGAGTTAGTTTCCGATGAGGTGGGGTCCACTAACTGAGACCGTTACGGAGGAGGAAGACGATTCAACAGTTTGATTAGTTTTGGCGCCAAACAACTTACTGGGCCTTATTTCTATAACAAGATTGATTGGGCCTTTTTACTAAAAATTGAGAATTCTTATGGCACTCTTGATAGGGAAAAAAAATTCTATGAAAAATCAAAAATGTTCTTTGGAAGTGCATTTCCTAAGCGCATCTTCCATAATTTTTTTAAGTCTTCCCCTTCTTTTCCCTCTCCTCCATACTCTCAAACATAGTCTTAAATTTCATAATGTAATACTGTATCGAAAATATATTTTCGATTTTAATATAGGATGAATTTAAAAAACGAATGAATTATATGTGTATATAGTGTGCACTGAAAATTCATGTAGATGGTTAAGAAACACTTAGGGTGCGTTAAGAAATATTCCTAAAAATTTCCATGGAATTCATGCTGGGGAGTAAAAAACTATGATCATTTTAGAGAATCTCTTGATAAACTCTTATATGGGTGAAGTAAACCTTTGAAAACTAAAAAATATCCTTCAGAGATGTATCTTCGAACATACTCTAAATTAATTTTCAAGGTGTTTCAGAAATTCATCTCCGAAAACACCCTAAGTCAATTTTTAAGGTGTTTCGCAAATGTATCTCCGAAAACACTCATTTTTACACATTATTATTTGAACGTTGTATTTAAACATTCAATGGTATTTTCGGATATGCATATCTGAAAATATTGTTGCTATATCAACTTGTTGCATGATCACCCTACCACTATTTCATTCTCTTCATTTCCTCCCATAACCAAAACCCACCACAAAACTTCAACCATTCTTAATCAACTTTTCATCTCCAAACCAAGTTTCAAGTGTTTTATCATATTAAAGAGAGCATAAAGAGCTGCAATTTAAGGTAAATTTTTCTCATTTCATCTTTCATTTTCTTTCATTGATGTTGATTCTGAGATGAAAAAACAATGCCCATTTGTATTGGGTATCTTAGATTGCTCTATTTTGTTCAGATTTATTTGAAATCGGGGTGTCATATTCCGACTACATCAGTGGAATGGATGACATATTCTGCAAAAGAGACGAAAACTTGACCGGATCACTTTTTAAAAAGGATGGCAGAGTTAACCAAATTGACAGAGCTTGAGATAGAATCAAATAAAGAGAAGTCGAAGAAAGAACTGGTTTTAGATTTAAGCAGTGACAATTCGTTTGATACATTTTAGAATGTAATCGACCATTTTTTGAATGTATTGTCGTGCAAAATGTAAATTTTACATGATTCAATCATATATAACATATATATTCAATATTTTACCGCTCTTTATATTTACTGGTTTATTTTTTTCATATTTTTATGATACTGATTCTACTAAAACAGAATTTGTTTTTGATTCTACATAATTCAGATATGCATATCTGAAATAACATTCATTTAAAAAAAACAACAGGGGTTATTTAAGATATGTATCTCCGAAAACCCCCTATTTTTGTAAAAAAAAGGTGAATTCGGAGATTAATATCTGAAACATGCCCTGGTGGTAGAATAAGAATTATTGGGTCTAAATTGCTCCTAATCTTCTATAAATTAGGTTTCTAAACCATTTCTTCAATAACACACACCACAAACAGAGATGAATCAAACATATCTTCACCTTACTTTTGTCTACTTCAGTGGTGAGAAGTCGCAATTTTAATCTAGGTTCTCCGAGGATACGCCTATCGTCGAGTTTATTACCATATTGAATTTTCTCCTGCAATATCCAGAAAATTGAAAGTTGGTCAAGCTCGGGTGTCGTTCACCCTCACTTGACACTGAAGGAAAGATAAATTCACCCAATTTGTACTGAAGACGGATGACGATTTAAACGTTATGTGGAGTATTTTTCACTGATACTTTACTAAGGGTCCGATTGAAGTGGATGTGAAGCTTCGAAGACCGGGAGAAGATGTTATCAAAATATTGTGACGTCCTCAACTACCCTTTTATAACAATATGTAATGTTAAACTTCTTTTCCATTATCTATGTAATTTCAACTATATATGTTAAATCTATGTTAACTTGCTTTGGTTTTAAGGGTTTTTATTTTATTTAGAAGTCAAAATTTATTTCAAATATGTGTGTCTGACAATTACCATTTGGTAACTTCAAATTTAATAAATTTATATATGGATATCCGAAATAAAGGGGTATCATAAAAATTTCGTCAATAACCTCTAAAAGGACATAAGAATTCATTAAAAAAATTTCTTATTTTATTACATATAGTCTTCTTAAGGGGTTTTATTAGGTTTTGATTGAGTTTTGAGGAGAAGGAATATAAGGGCTTTGAAAATTTTAGTTCACCAAAAATGATTTTCAATTTTCAGTTTTTAAAACTAAATAATTAGAACAATCTTTATATTTTTAAATTTTATTTTCCTTTCAACAAAATAAAATATAAATCACTTTTAATAGTTCATTGATAATTATTACGAGTATTTCTATTGCTTTAGTTGTCATTTAAAGTTTGATAATTAAATGAAATATAAACACCCTTTTCATATAAATTAATCATTTGTGTTCCAATTTAATTTTTTATATATTATAGTTTGTTTATAAAGTCAACAACGTAAAACTATTTTGTTATAACAAAAGCTTAAAAAAAATGGAGTTATTATAAATATTTAACTTTAAACAAGATGTATTTGATAAAAAATTATAGATGTTTTGGTTTAAGAGATAAAATTCTTATTTAAGAGAAAAAATTATTATATATATATATATATATATATATATATATATATATATATATATATATATATATATATATATATATATATATATATATATATATATATATATATATATATATATATATATATATATATATATATATATATGTATGAAATAAATTTATGTATGTTGATTTTTGTATAAATATGTTTAATTGTATTAATGTAAATATTATATATTAGTAAAATATGAGCACCACATTAACATATGTGAATTAAAAATATTATTTATAATAATTTATAATTTTTATAATGTAAAATGTTTATAATTAGATTTTACGTATCACTAATATTATCAGTGCAATACCACTTTTATTTTAGTCAACAATTACATTTATTTGGTAGGAAAAAATTTATTTTGAAATGTCAATTTTTTTTTTTGCTATGCAATTAAATAATTCATTTCATTTTTAAAGGTGAAATGGTCCGACGCGACGAGATAAGAAGTGTAAGTTCAGCAATAATATCATGTCATGATTTGTCATGATTGATGAGAAAAATAAATATTCAGTAGGAAAATATCGAAGAGGAAGAAGATAGATGAAATTTCATAATTTGGAGTTTTCAATTTTAATGGGTTAATCACTAATTTAAATTGCATAAATCTATTTTGCACCTATTCATTAATCAATATCTTTGTGAAATTATGTTTAAATGGAAAATATTAAAATATTATAACATGCCATTTCCACGGCATTATTTTTGGTGATTGAATTTAATGATGAGACAAAATAAAAGAATCTTAATAAGTCAGGGAGATAATTCAATATTTTAAAGGAGAATTTTTCAAGTTTTGTTCAAATGGCTGGAGAAAAAATAAGTATTAACCCTTAAGAAAATTATTAAAGCTCTTCGAGTCATTTTGAAAATTCATTTAATTTAAATTAATATTATGGCCTATTAACAATAAAAAAACAAAAATTATTATAGTTCAAAGTTTCATCACAGCTATTCCTGTCAGAATAGATTTGGCCTATAAGTCTAATAATTTAGTGCGGATTGGACCGTAAAATACTTTTAAAAAACATGATCCTATCTTTTTGGTACAACTCATCTGGATGATATTTTTCATGGGTCGGGCCAAGCCGATAAGCATGGAAATAAATCCGCTCCTGCCGGGCCTCCGCCACCCCCGCTCTAAAATTAGCGGGGAAAACCCGATTTAACCGGGGGCAGGCGGGTGCAAGGAAAACCCAATTTTTATTTGCGGATGCGGGTGTGGGAGTGAGTGATGCTAGTATCCGCCCTGCACCCACATTCGTCCCGCACCCGTCAACTAAATTTAATTTATTTCATTTATTTTTAATAGTTTTATTACTCATTTACACTTTTTAATGTGTAATATAATGATAATTATAAAAAAAAATTTAAATCCAATTTAAATAAAAGTATCAAACATAAAAAATAATTTTAAAATAATCAATTATTTAGTTTAATTATTGATTTTTATTTTTATTGAAAAAATATAAATTTAAAAAAATTAAAATTTTATTCAGGCGGGTGCGGGGAAACCCGTTTCTTGTTGGAGGCGGGAGAACAAATATTATCCTTGATCGAGTTTGGGGGCGGGGGCGAGTCTGGGTTGCGGGTGCGGGTCTGGGTGTGCTTAAACTCGTCCCCGACCCGCCCCGCTGACATCCCTATAAGCGGGCTTCAGGCTGGCCCATTAAAAAAAGATTTTGGTAAATTTTGGAGAAAAAAAGATTGAGATAAGATATGATTGCATATGTGTGTTTTCATGTGATAAAGAAAAGTTAAAGAGGATGAAAATATATTTTCAAGATGATGTGATCAAGGAAATGGTTGTGAGATGAAGAGAAAATTTGATAAGTATTGGTGATAATATTATGTTACTCTGCACTTTTATATGGATGTTTTTGTGGTATATATATATATATATATATATATATATATATATATATATATATATATATATATATATATATATATATATATATATATATATATATATATATATATATATATATCCTGATTTGATGAATATTTTAAACATCACTTAATTAAATTTATGTTGATTCTCTACTTATATTATGTAACTTT